GTGGTTTCTTTAATTGGAAGGGGCTAAGCACTCAAAATATGCTGAAGTTCTATGTACATCTAAGGGTTTATCCATTTTTACATTTCCAGGGAGGGACGCAGGTGGCGCTGTGGGTTAAACCACAGAACCTAGGACTTGCCGATCAGAAGGTCGGCGGTTCAAATCCCCATGATGGGGTGAACTCCTGTTGCTTGGTCCCTGCTCCTGCCAACCTAGCAGTTCAAAAGCATGTCAAAGTGCAAGTAGATAAATAGGTACCGCTCCGGCGGGAAGGTAAATGGCGTTTCCGTGCACTGCTCTGGTTCGCCAGAAGCGGCTTAGTCATGCTGGCCACATGACCCAGAAGCTGTACACCGGCTCCCTCGGCCAGTAAAGCGAGATGCGCGCTGCAACCCCAGAGTCGTCCGCGACTGGACCTAATGGTCAGGGGTCCCTTTACCTTTACCTACCTTTCCAGGGATAGTCTATGCTTTAAAGTTCTATGCCCAAGCGCTCCCTCTTTCTCTCGCTCTCTCTCTCTCTCGCTCTCACTCTCTTGCTCTTTACAGCTGAATTGGAGCAAATGGCAATCCACAGAAAATTTGTTGCGCTGCAGCTTTAGAAAGCAGGTTTTAGTGGGAAAAGGTGCGGGGGGGAGAGCACTAGGACATGGAACTTTAAAGCACAGACCTTTGCTTGGAAAGTGCAGGATAAGTCCTTAGTTTGGGATTGTTTGCTGCTGACGCAATGTTTGAGCCTGCTTGTATGAATCTCTATCTGGGGTCCACATGGAGCTATCCAGGGTGCTTTGTGGAACCTGAACTTTGCCATGCCTTACTAGAATCTAATGGAGGCAGTGAGAGATTTTACATTCTTCGGCTCCATGATCACTGCAGATGGTGACAGCAGCCATGAAATTAAAAGACGCTTGCTTCTTGGGAGAAGAGCATCTTAAAAAGCAGAGACATCACCTTGCCAACAAAGGTCCGTATAGTTATAGCTATGGTTTCCCCAGTAGTGATGTATGGAAGTGAGAGCTGGACCATAAAGAAGGCTGATTGCCGAAGAACTGATGCTTTTGAATTATGGTGCTGGAGGAGACTCTTGAGAGTCCCATGGACTGCAAGAAGATCAAACCTATCCATTCTGAAGGAAATCAGCCCTGAATGCTCACTGGAAGGACAGATCCTGAAGCTGAGGCTCCAATACTTTGGCCATCTCATGAGAATAGAAAAGACCCTGATGCTGGGAAAGATTGAGGGCACAAGGAGAAGGGGACAACAGAGGACGAGATGGTTGGATAGTGTTCTCAAAGCTACCAGCATGAGTTTGACCAAACTGCGGGAGGCAGTGGAAGACAGGAATGCCTGGAGTGCTCTGGTCCATGGGGTCACGAAGAGTCGGACACAACTAAACGACTAAACAACAACAACACTGGAAACTAAGCTTTGCCTTGCTTTGTTTTGCCTTACTGGAAACAGCCAATTGCCTTGTTTTGCTTGCCTAACTTGTTTTGCTGCAACTTGCCAAGAAGCCCCCACTTTGACTGAGGAAACCACCTGGGATGGAACACATAGAGACAACTTCCATATCACCTAATAACATGCTTTTCAATTTACACATTCACCTGCAAGTTATCAAGCACTGACAGATCAAGTAAAGGTACAAACACAAGAATTAACCCTACACTTGCTGGGTCCATGAGCTGAGAGGAAACCTGAGGGCAGCGGCACCTGTTGCCCACTTCAGAGTGATGTCACTGATAAAGCACAAAGGGCAATTCCTATCACTAATTCAATAGCCAACTCCACTTATTAAATATATAAACAACCAAGGCTGCAATTATCTAGAAAAATGTAGAAAGCATTACATTACTGTAATTCAAGCTAGGTTTCTTCCAATGAGACATAGTTAAGTTTACATCATTCAAACCAAATAAGAAATTCCTCGCAGCTGATGTCAGCAAGAGACTTAGCAGTAATTCTAGGAAACAGACATTCATGAGTTGTGCAAATATATCTTTTATTAAGCTTATGATTAGGACTAAGATAAGGAGACAGTGACTTAAAGGAAGGATAACATTTCAGATATCTGGAATGCAATCCAAACGCTGATCTAAATAAACACATTTGATGAAAAACTTTCTCTGGTTGGAACACTTAATGCGTTTATAAAAATAGGGCTACAGTGACATTGCTGTTGCTGCCTCTGTTTTGAAGAATGTGGATAGTAGTGAAACAGGGACAAATGTTTTTACACTTTGGCTTTGCCATCTCTTGAAACGGAAGGCCATCTTAGTTTGAGTGTTAGACTAGGACATAGACAGCCAGCGTCCACATCCCTACTCAGGCATTAAGCTCACTGTGTGATCTTGGGCCAGGCACAGTCTTTTAGCCAAACTTAACTCACAGGTTGTTGTGAAGGTAAAATGGTGAGGGGGGGAACCACCTAGAGCTCCTTGGAGGAAAGGTGGATAGTGCAGAAAGAAGAAACACCATGGTATACCTGCATCAGCACAACCAAACCCATTTATCTGCCCCAGCTGCAACAAAACATGTCTCTCCCATATCAGTCGCTACAGCCACAGCAGGCGCTGTAACCTTCCAACAGTTCAACTTTGCTCCAAAAGGTGCATTTCTCCATTGTCTCCCAAGGCAGATGGATGCCAACCAAATGAATGTTAATAAATTTAGAGACAAGTGAAGTCAGCATAAGTAATCTTGTTTATATATTTCTCCCCCTACCTTTCCACAACTAGTAAGTGAGGGCAGTGCCGCATGTTTCAGATGCTGCAGGAAAGGTAACTGTTACACTAGTGCTGTTTGCAGCAAATGGATAGTGCGTGGAAATAAATTAGGTGTACATGTGCATCTTTAAACAGCCATGCACATGTGTCTGGGTGCTTAAAGATATGTGCATGCACACACATTTTACTTTCACACTGCACACTTTTGCTGCAGTGAAGCACCCGCATCTTCTGCAACAATTGCAATGTGGTCAGTCGCCATCTTTGCAAGTCTCCCAGTTCCAGCTTTCTTTGTGAGGCTCATTCCAAACTAGAATCCCCAGTGTTTTTTTTTCTGGGAGGTGGGGACGCATACCCCTAAACATTTTGGGAATCTAAGTTTGGCCTTAATGAGGGGCAGCATTTCAATATGAGTAGGAAAATGAGAGTACCCCTAAACCTTTTTTTTAAAGAAAAAAAAGCACTGAGAATCCCACAAGAGTTGCTGTGATACCACAGTGGTGTGGGGCTCGCCTATGCCGTTTTGCAAAGGACCTCTTCTGGCACGTGAAACAGTCAAGTTCAATCTCAGTCAAACGTTAGCGTCATGACTTAAGGTGAATGTCATAACCATGATAAATTGTTAATCAAAGCTGGGGGGGGCTTTCTTTTTGTTGATAATGAACAATAATTCTCTGTCAGGAAGGAAACTGCGGATGAGTGATCACATTTATTTTATTTTATTTTTCATTTATTACATTGCAAATTGACCATTTGGCATTTCCAGCAGAGAGAGCTCATTCCTTATGCCAGAAAAAAGTATCTCCAGAAACAGCCATTATATGCTTCATGCATCTACCAAAAGATGGTTAACTACAGTACTGAATAAAATAGGTCAGAACTTGATTTTGGCTGCTTCCACAGTGGGAATTTATTGTGGAATAGGGTTTAATCATTATTTTGGGGGTGTCTGCACCACATTCTGAACAAATTGCCCTCCATCTGTGTTTCCTCATGTATTTTCAGACCTCAAAAAATAAAGGGCTGATCCATACTCCCTCTTGTTCTGCTGCTTTCCTCCAGGGAAAACCGCTCTTTAGCACTCAGTTGGAGCAAACAGCAATTTGGCTTTTCTCCAGATTGAGGTTTGTTCCAATTTAGCACCAAAGAGCGGGTTTTCTCTGGGAAAGGAGTGGCAAGGGGAAAACCCCTCGGACCCATGCTTTCTAGGTGTGGGAGAAGCAGAGGTGTGGACAAACTCGAAATTAGCTTATTTACAGCTACTTTAATAATAAAGATGGAACAATTGTTCAATCTCCCCAACAGTCCTGCAACTTTGCACAGAGTCTGGAGTGGCTAGTTTTCTCTCTATAGGCCACTTCAGCCATTTCTCGTCTCTATGTTCTCCCCCACCCATTTTAGGAATGAATCCTTCTCTTTCAACATGGTACCGCCTTGCCAGCTTCACGGCTCCTCACTCAGGACTGGGATGGGGCTGGAGTCAATACCTGGCATCCTTGGGTACAAACCTGGGCCTCAGCACCCTGGCAGCCTGGCACTAATGCTTGCTCTGCATTGCCCTTAAAAAACATTCTGACCAAAGCACTCCAAAGCCAGCCAGCTAGGTTTTTAATTTCTCAAAATGTCCCTGACATACAATGACCCTGTAAGCCTTTGAGGGTCACTGCAAAGGGAAAAAAGATGGCTGCCTCCATAGGAACATTATAATTTCAGTTGTACCTCGGGTTAAATATGCTTCAGGTTGAGTGTTTTCAGGTTACGCTCCACGGCGACCCGGAAGTAACAGAACACGTTACGCAGACGCTCAAAATGACGTCACGCGCATGCGCAGAAGCAGCGAATCGCAACCCGCAGAAGTTCAGACGCAGGTTGTGTTCATTTCAGGATGCGAACAGGGCTCCGGAACGGATCCCGTTCACATCCAGAGGTACCACTGTACTGCCACTTTCAACATGATGAAGCCAAAACAAGAAGTTATGTAAAGAGAAGGAATACTACGTACACTGTTGGCAGGTCCATGTTGTTCATAAACACCAGTAGTGCTATTTTTCTAGAAAAAGAGGTGCTGAACTCATGGTGTTCTTTTATAACGGCGCCCACCTGAGAGGTGCCAGAACTAAATTGTGGCAAGTTCTGGCTGAAAAAAAGTCCTGAACCCCAGAAAAAGGGGCTTTAGCAGCATCCAGTAATTGCCAACTCCAAACTCAATAGCAACTCTGCTTGCATACATGTAGCCAGCTGGGTAATTCTTAGGGGATGTTATTTTTGTTGGGGGAGATACACACACACACACACTATATATATATATATATATATATATACAGTGTGTGTGTGTGTGTGTGTGTGTGTGTGTGTGCGGGCAAACCGTACTCAGAAAGGATTGTATCCATGCACAATCCAAGCACGATCTAGGATGTTGACTGGTAAGGTTCATCCCAAATTGTGGCTCAAAATGAAATCGTCCCGCATTCCTATGCCTACCCTCTGTTCTGCCAAAAGGTTTAGCTTCTTCAGTTTCCTGAAGCTGTTCCTTGAAACAGGCCTCTGATTTGATCTGATGAGAGTCTGTTGGTTCCACTCCCGGTCTCCTAAATCAAACAAGACTTTCCCCCCCACCTTTCCTCCCTAGTTCAGACGAAGCCAACTGTCTGTTGGAACAATAGAACAAGGAGAGTCGTGTAATGACTGAGGAAAAGAGTTAACCTCTGCCTGAGCCAGAAACCATCTTTCTCTCAAGATACTTAGTACTGGCAAAAAGGATGGACTCCACCCGAACAGCGTTCCTTAGACGAGCTGTTGGACGTTGTTCAAGACAGCATATACTATTTCACTTGGAAAGAAAAGGAATTGAGATCAATCCATCAACATCCATCATTTATAGATTTTCAGCCAGGAAGATCAGTTAGATAAGTAAAATAAAACTATTAAACCAAGGGACATGGCTTTAAAAAAAAAATGAAAATGAAAACATGCCAAGGAAGATAATCACACAGAGGAACCTCATGTTTTCCTTGTTTATGAATGCAAATAAAAGGCCTGCTTCAAATTAAGAAATGAAGCCTCCTCTTATATCGCCAAATTAGAATTGATGAGGCTAGGCCTCTATGTGGAGGGCAAAGCTCCTTTTGAACATATTTTTCAACTCACTAAGGCCACAGGATATGAAATATGTTGCCATTTTTGTTATTCACCTTTTCCCACTAACTGGAAACATACCCAGACAGACCCTGTATTTTGATAGCATTGCAAGTCTCAGTGCTTTCAAAAATTGCCCATGCTTAGCATCAACAATGACAACTCCTTGTGAAAAACATAGTAAGCAAGTAGGTAATGATGAACCATGGGCAACTTCCAGCATCAAAATACATTTTGCTAACAGCAAAAAAACCTTCCAGGCTATTTTCTTTTATTTCCCTTTCAGGAAAAAGCAGCTGCTGAGGGCTGCGACTGGGGTGCATGGCATGTCGGCATGGGGGAGTTAACTCTTTTGTCTCCATGCTGGTTTCCATCTAAAACTCCTCCCTGGCTGCTATTTGCCTCTGCCACTTCCCATTCTTAGGGAAGAGCTGTAGCTCAATGGCAGAACATCTGTTCTGCATGCAGAAAGTCCCAGATTCAGTTCTCCGTATCTTTAGGCAAGCCTGGGAGAGAACTTTGTCTGAAATCGTGGAGACGCCCTGATAGTCAGTGTAGCCAGCGTGCAGCAGGAACCCACTTCTCCTCTCAGATGTTTTCTGGCCCATGTAGGACCAGTCTGGAAAGTTAGCCTTGCTGAAGAGTTGACATTTTCATCCCTAAAAAAGTTTTTGATTTGAGTTTCCATTGAAATGAGGCTGCATTTTAATGTTTTAATGTTGTATTTTAATCTTGTTTTTAAGTTGTATTTCAATCAATTTGTTTTTATATCGGGTGTTAGCCGCCCTGAGCCCGGTCTTGGCTGGGGAGGGTGGGGTATAAATAAAATTTATTCTTATTCTTATTATTACAAATGTGGGGTCCTAAATGGCATGGTGGGCCTTCCACAACCACAGCTAGCTTCCCACTTCAGAAACAATGCCAGGTTTTGGGCAGTGTGGGCAGTCCCCACCCCCCACAGGGTGCCAAACCGAGGGGGCGCAAAATTGAGAAGATCCATAATGGGGAAGATCTATTTGGGGGTGCCAAATGTTGGCCTTGCACAGGGTGCCATATTACACAAGCCCACTCCTGTCAGAAGTTCAGACCAAACATGGGCTGCATCTAGACACATCAAAGAAGCATTTCAGTTAAAAGCATTGCAAACTTTGCATGAGAAATTGTGTTGGCAAAAAATGGAACTCCACAGCGCCATCTGGTGCCACAGTGTCATAATGCATAAAGAATGCATATACAACGTTTTTTCTTTGCCAATGTAGCTGAGTCCAGAGTGGGGGATGGTCATTGGAAACACAATGGAGGGGGCAGGGCTTTAGCGTAGGCTCAATTGCCTGAGAAAGGGGATCCATTTTAGCTTTACCATCGAGATATCCAACCATAGCCCCCTTTTCGGTGTTTAAATAATCTCCTTAGGCGCTTAAACCATTTGAAACATAATGATAGCTGGCGCTGTCTCTGATGTTATATTAAAATTTGCATTGTTAATGTAGCAATCTGTTTAATTAAAAGCACTAACGTAGACGAAGAAGAAATCCCACAGGAGATAATGCCTCCAGGAAATTAAAACTGCACTCTGTAACATTGCTTCTTCTTTGTCCGCCTCCACTCGGGCGTAGGAATAGGAAACAAGCAAAATGCAAAGTACACCAGTAAGCTTGACCTAATAAGCAGATTTGTGCATTAAGAAGAGAAAACTGACAACATGATGGAAAGAGAACTTCATTAGGAAGCTGCCATGCTTCCATAGACCAATATAAAACACGTCTTTCAAACACAACCTGAACCTCCTCCTCCTCAGCCATCCATGGAGTGAATTAGAATATTCTGTGATCCTAATTCATTTTTATATATAAAACCTATTTTAGAATGTCAAGCAGCAGCTCAATGTACTGTGGAATGCATGTGATTATGTGCATTTTTCAGAGAAGATGCTCCACAGCTTTCATCAGATTCTCAAAGGGGTCTGTCACCCTTTTGCATACCCTTCAACATTTCTCCGATTAAAATAGGGACATCCCATTCCATAAGGATAATTTTACTAGTTATACCCCACACATCTTACTGGGTTGCCCCAGCCACTCTGGGCAGCTTCCAACATATATAAAAACACAATAAAACATTAAACATGCCCTATACAGGACTGCCTCAGACAGCTCAGGGGTCAGATAACTCCATACCCTTCAACATTTCTCCAATGAAAATAGGGACATCCTAAGGAAAAGTAGGACGTTCTGGGATCAGATCAGAAACCGGGACGGCTTCTCTAAATCAGCGAAATCCCTGGAAAATAGGGAGACTTGGAGAGTTTGCTTTTGTTCTGTTCTAGTCAATGGAGTTTCAAGTTGTAAGGACTTTTTTTTGGCGGTGGAGGGAAGCTCCTGATGTTTCCTGAAGGAGCGTCTCCACCCCCACCGTTCAGCCTGGACACTGAGGTCCAGCTCTGAGAGCCTTCTGGTGGTTCCCTCACTGTGAAAAAAGAGGTTACAGGGAACCAGGTAGTGGAACGCACTCTCATTAGATGTCAAGGAAATAAACAATGATCTGACTTTGAGAAGACATCTGAAGGCAGGCCTGTATAGGGAAGTTGCAACCCAGTCAGACGGATGGCATAACAACAACAACAACAACAACATTTTCCAAGGAGGAACCTGGTGGCAGAAGTGTTACCTTGAGATTCAGGGGACAAGATTCTGGCTCTGTTTTTTCTTTCTTCCTTCTTTAAATTTTAAGATTTCATTCAATTATAAAAGAAAAAGAAGGTAACCAATACAGTTAAAGCGCAACTAGGGGATATACATCAAAGAGTAACTGCTTTTCATTGTCACATTACAGACACACTCATCTGGTGTTAGCAGTTGAGTGAGATCAACAGAGGACCTCAATTTTCATAAATCACAGTCATGAGGTGCAAATTTCACGCACCGGTGCAGGGAAAGATCATCTGCAGTAACGTAAGTGATAAATCCCCCACCAAACGGTTCCACATCTTTGGATCCTTTCGAGACTTTTAAACCATGTGTCCCTTCCTCAAATGTTGCCAAATTCCAGATATTATCACACCACAAAGACCATTGTAAATCATGCAACATCTTCCATTTTTGAGCAATAGAAATTCAAGCAGCTGCCAAGACGCAGGCTCTGGGGCCTGTGGATCGGCATGTGGAGGACTCATCTTCATCTCAGGAGAACCGTTGTAGGACTTTCTAAATCTGTGGATTCCTAGTATGCCAGGAACCAACACCACTGCCTGCCAGCTTGACTGCCTTTTTTATCTTGCTGCTGCTGCTGCCTACTTCTAGGTAAGAGGAATGAAGGAGAGCAACCACAGCCTCTGTATTGGGAAGGGGGATTCACCAGCAGCAATTCAACAGCCTCTATCCTCCAAGGTGTGGAGTGGGCTCCACATGCTCTACAATTCAGAGAGAGACTTGAGGGGGCGGACTGCTGGATTGGTGTTGAAGGGAGGTGTGCGTTTGTGTGTCAGAAGAGCTCTGTTGGATCAGACGAAGAGTCCTTCTAGCCTAGGCTCCTACACAACACAACAGCCAGCCAGATCCTTCTGGGGAAACCACAAGCAATGTTAGGAGTCCAGGTTCCCGGCTTGATAACACAGTAAGCGTACGTAATTAAAAAGGGGGATTTATTGCAAAAAAACCAAGCAATTATCTCCGGACGAGTCTAGCAAGACTCCGCCCCCCCATCACTCAGTTGACCCTTCTGAGGAGTTCTTCCTGTGTCGACAGAAGAGATTGAACCTTCGACCTGTTCCTGACTGCATTCTGCAGCCGGCTGTGAGATTACACTTGGAGCTGGTGTGTTCATGACAAGCAACAACTTGTTGGCAACAACTCTCCCCCACTGCTTGCCCCCAGCAGCTGGTATTCAGCAGCATATTATTACTATCTCCATCACCCTCATAATTGTATTGTTTTGCGGGGGGCAGGGGAGCCATGGCTATTTAAAGTGGGGTAAAATGTATGGTGCAGGTGGGCCACACTATCTTGTTCTGGTAGTAAAACTGTGTCTGGGCTGCATCACTTTAGAGACTATAGCTGGGGGTTCCTTCTCTAAAGATATTCCTTTGTACACAGAAAAATAAATGTTTGGGAAATTGTTTCTAAAGCTGCATGTTCAGTCACATGATTCTGCACCTAAAGTCTGAAATCATACAGCCCAGATACAGGTGAAAACTAGGCCAGAGAGGGATA